CGGTGTGGGTGTGCGTGTGGGTGTGTAGATGTAGGTGTGGGTGTGGGCGTGTGGGTGTGGTTTCATATTATCCTAAATCACACCCACAGCTACATCCTACAGTCACACCCCATACCCACACCCACACCCACACCCACACCCCACACCCACACCCACACCCCACACACCCACACCCTCACACCTACACCCACACCCACACCCACACCCACACCCACACCCTCTTCCTGGTTAGAATGAAATCGTTAAATGTACACAATTACTTCGTCAAAGAACATTTTTATCATCTTATCTTCATATATAACTATTACATAGTTTATTAGCATAACATAGTTAATAAGAAATATTTCATCCATCATCTCATCCAACTTTACGTAAAGTTATTTTATCAACATCAATTATTATTGATGATGTTGTTTATGTTATTGATAGTGATTGAACAAAAGCAAGTGATTATGATCTTGAAACACAAGGAAAATATCTTTTACCAACGAATATTTCACGAGCAAATTTACTTCAAAAAGGTTTTAATTTAAAAGAAAAAACTTCTAGTGTTTTTCATACAAATTTGTTAACATAGAACAAGCTGGTCGAACTCAATCCGGTGAATGTTGTCGTTTATTTACTCGTTGTAATCAACGTCTTTCGTTTGTTGATTTTCCTCAAGCTGACATGATCACATCAAGTTTAGATAATATTTATTTACAAGGAAAATTATTAAATGTAAATAATGTTAAAACATTTCTTCAAGATGCACTTTATCCATCATCAATTGAAGCTATTGAACATGCTGTACAATATTATATGGTATTGGTGCATTAATATTTGATACAAATTAATTAACACCAATTGGAAAAATTCTTACTCAATAAATTTATTCAAAACAATAAAAAGAAAAGAATTTTTAATAATTTATTTAGTTTATCCATGGCTCCTCAAATTAGGAAATTATAAATCATGGATTATTTATTTTCTTGTTTTCATCCAATATTAATAATTCCATCAATTTTAATGTATCGAGATTCGTAAGTATAGATATAAATATGTTTTTATTTTAATTGAAATTGAATTTTATTCAAATTTTGTTACTCCAATTGATAAAATTCAAGAAATCAATCAAATATGTCGTCGATTTGTTGATAATACATACAACGTTCGATCATGTTATGTTATTAAAGAACTTTTCGATGAAATTAAACTGATACGTCTACCATTGTCGTCTTCATTTGAAATATTTTTATTAGTTAATCAAGTTAAATCAATCAAAAAGAGTCATTATAGAATATTGTTTAGCAAGAATTGCATTTATTCATTTTTTTACAACACATCTACATACACGCACACTTACAATTCATAACTATCATGTCAATATCCCTATACGTTTTAAAAAAAACTGAAATATGCCAAACATGTTATACTTGATCTTAAATATGGTTTCTTAATTTGTTTTGTTTTGTTTTTAATGCAAATCATCAAAAAATTCTTAATTTTAGGGTTATCTGTTCAAGTTCGTGATGAAGCATTACAGATAACTGATAATATTCCAAAAGGTCAAGTTAATAAAGAATATTTTACACAGAATGCTGATGCGCAAATACTAAGTCTTCTTTATATTTTTCATTTGTTAATATAAATAAAATTTTGTTTAGTTATCACTTGAACAAATATCACAACCATATGGTCAATTAGCTAAAGTCCAATCACCAAGTGATGTTCTAATGAGATTAGCTCGTTCAACGCCATATTATAAATGAAATCAACCTCATATATGTTCATTTTATGTCAAACATGGATGTAAACAAGTTGCAGAATGTCCACATAGGTTTGAATATTTACTTTTATGAAAAACCAACTGATCCAGTTGTAGAAAAATTATTATCACGTTATAAGAATTATCACAATTAGAAACGCCAGAAGATAAAAGAGTAACAACACTTTATATTGAAAATGTTGTTGATATGGATGAACAACGATCACGATTTGTTTAGTTTTCTTTGTAACCCCTAGAGAGAATTTTACCAAACGGGGTACACTCCATTATAGATGTAAATAGTTATAGCTTGTTCTTGTTATGGTTCATGCAAGTGCAAGAGACGATTTCAGACTAGTACAATAAGCTCTTATTTGTAAAGACAAAAAATTGTTTCGAATACTGGAGGAAACCTGAGACACAAAAAATTGACTTATTATGAAATATGAAATAAAGCTGTGAAAAACAATCAGAGCTCATTGGGCTATTCAAATGGAAAATAGCTTTCGTTTCATGTACACTCATACATTAATTTTGCTGGATGCGTCATAATTAGGGAAAAAAATAGCTAGACAACGTTATCAAGGTCACGTTTTTCAAAATCGATTTCCAATATCTTTTCCTCATGTTATGAATTTCATTAAAACAAAGTTAGTTTCTCATGAACCTTTGGTAGTTTTCCAAATAGGAAATGAAAAAAAAAGTTTTGGTTTCAAAAGCTACCTTTTTCAATGAGTTTTTCGTAAAATATCGCCATTAGAGAACAAATCTGGCTTAGAATCGTGGTGTAGGTGTGGACGTAAATGAAGAGAACAACAACACCCACACCCTTTTTATCATCCAATGTATTGTTGATGAGACAACTAATAGGATATACAATATAAATACATTTTTTTTCTAAGATATGAAGATGATTCAACAAAATATTCACCGAAAATAATATTCGTACGTTTTTCTCGAAATTGAGAAACTCCGAACAGATTCTTTTTCCCTATGGTTCATTCCATTGAACTGCATTTTTTTTTATTCGATAGATTGATGAATTTTCTTTCGAATGACTGAAATGAATTTTGTATTCGACCTTTGATATTAAAAAACCTATAGGGTTTCTAGAAAATCTTGGCTATGGATTTTCGAGAGTTGCAAAAATGAAATAAAAATCCTTACTCTCATCCGATGCAGAAAAGAGTTCTCTTTCAAATGAGAGCTCTCCAGGTGTGGGT